GCTCCTGAGTTCAAACCCAAGTACCTCTCCAACCACCCCCAAAAAAGTTGTCTATTATAATGACTATTGTGAAGATAGTTCATAGATTTTGCTGAAGTGCTATTTTGTGTAGTTTTAACACTCATCTGCTCCACTGAATCTGTAAAATAGATATATATAGCATATATATAGCATAAATGAGCAGGTATGTCAAAAGGTTTGGAATGAGTTTTTCCTTCCTTGATAAATTACCCACAGGTGAGATTTACCAAATGACTGGCAAACCTTGTTTTATGACTTTTCCTGGCTCAGCTACCCAGGAAGAAATGTCTGTTCAGTGTAAATGTACTTACTATTTCTCCTGTGAATGCCTCACTTTCTACTCTACCAACCCATGTCAGGCACCTTGAAATCCCAACTCAAAACTCAAATCTGCAAGTCTTCCTCAGCTATTCCACTCAAGTCTGCAGATGAGAAATGTGATTGATGAGTACTTTATTTTTATTCAAGACTTTCTTGGACCATCAATATTTGATTATTTTTTTTTCTTTTTTTTTTTCTTTTTTTTGTATATATTTGATTATTTTTAAAAATATAACAAAAAATTGTATGAGCTTAAGATCTTTTATGGAAAAATTTAAATATTTGGAAATAGAATAGTATAATGGACCTCCAAATACTGATGGTTACTTTAAATAGAATTATTATTCAATTTTACAGCCCTACAATGAGGATATTGTCTTTATTTCACACATTATGTGGAAGAGCAGTGACTTGCCCCAGGTACCATAGGAAGCAAAYGGCAGAAAGGAATTCAGGTCCAGGAATGTTTGGCTTCCTGTTATTCTGGCTACCCCGACATTTGGTATGCAAATCACCTGACATCATTAGTATGAAAGTTTCTGTTTCTTAAGTGTTTTTGCGCACAAATGCCATTTTATTTATTTATTTATTTAATATTTATTTTTTAGAAGCAGTTGAACACAATATCTTATTTTATTTATTTATATGTGGTGCTGAGGATCGAACCTAGGTCCTTGAACATGCTAGAGTGCTAGCCAAGCACTATACCGCTGTTTACTGGTGAGGAGTCCTTGCTTCCCCAAATGCTGAAGTATAACACCAGAGAAGCACGCAGAGGCAAGTGTAGAGTGGAAAGTGGAAGGCTTTGTTAAAGGATAGCAGAAAAGATTTCCTCCTGGAGGAAGAAGGAGACCCTCGAAAGGTGGAATCTGAGGGCTGGGGATATAGCTCAGTTGGTAGAGTGTTTGCCATGCATGTACAAGGCCCTGGGTTCAATCACCAGCACCAAAAAAAAAAAAAAAAAAAGTGGAATCTGTAGAAGGGGGAGGTCTTCCCTTTGTTATATCTGAGGTCTTCTTTTAGTCCTCCCATATTCCTGTCCTTTGTTCCCCTCCATCCTGCAGTG